AAATCACTCCGCATTTTTACAATAAATTGATCAACTTATTTATTATTGTTTGCATACTTCTAAGCCAAAAGTTTGTTTAGTGCATTTTGATAAAATATAAAATTTTAAATGTAAATTACGTATAATTATATTCAATTATTAATTTTATTAATAATTGGCTAACCCATTCAGGAGAAGTTTTCTATCTGGAAATGCTTTTGGAATGTTGAAAAGTTTTCAATAAAATAATTTACATTAACAGAATATACATATTTCTAATCTTCTATTTGGTTGATGATGAAATTTTTGATGACTCTGGTGCTCCCCGAATAAAAATATCCGGGAACTTATTTTTATTAAACATGTAAAACATCACATAAATTTTTACGTTTTAATGAATATGCATGTGAATTTGACGTCTATAGAAAAATTCATTAAAAACCCCGAAGCTCGACGAAAACGGTGATGATCATCCATTAATTCAAACCCTATCAATTTACATATAGCTTAAATCATCAAGAATATGATATGAATGCAAATTTTTTTGGAAAATCAATAATTAAAATAAACAATAGTAATAGTAATAGTAATAGATGATTATCACCGTTTTCTTCGAGTTTCGGGGGTTTTTAATTAAAATTTTTCTAGACATTCTAAACTTACATCCATATTCATCAAAACTTAAGCTTCTGATAAAATTTTATGTATAGCTATTATATGAGTTTTTGCACGATTATTAATAATAGGTGTCCGGATACCTTTGTCCAGGAGTGGTGTATATATACACTCGCTGGTCATAAATATAATAAGGACACTTGCAGATCATCGGAAATAATTGAATAAAGAAACATGAAAAAAAATAAAAAATTTATTATCCTAACCACATTTGCTTATAAAGTAAATATTCATCTTCATATCAAATAGTAAAATATACTGAAGTTTCGCCGCATGTAAACAACAACTTGTTGTTTTACGAATCTTAAAAAATAAAAATGAATTTTTTCGGAATTTTCAAAAAAATCTTTAACTCGAAAATTGACCACAATGACAAGTTCTAACGACCTTTGTGGTATAAGTAAAAATGCGTCTTGTGTTTATATCCAAAATTCTAGATCATTTGGTAAATTAATTGCCGAGATGTCATATCAAATATAAAATACTCGAACGAGTTAATTTTGAAGATCTTTTAAAATAATTCGTTTAAAGGTAAACTTCAATCCATTTTATTTTTTTAAAGAGAATTGAAAATGTCCAAAGCTACTCAATTATCTTAATTCGAGCGCGGATAAATTTTTGGCTTAAAAAAGGCCGATTTTCTTATAGAGAAATGGCTCGTATATTAAATAGATCCAAAAGTGCAGTTGAAAAGACCATTAATGATTATTTTTCAAAAAATAAAACAACTACAGCTCTTAGACCTGGCAAGATTTAAAAAGACTTGGAGTGAGAAACCCAAAACCAAAAAAAA